TTCACAATAAGGCGTGTAGCTGACCAGCTTGACAGGCGGGCGCGGTGTAACGGTTTGTCAAGAGGTTTAAAACCCGTCTCAGCTCTCAGCCTGTGGATGACATCACTCAGGCCATCCGGGGGAGACCTCCCTCACAGCGAGCTGTTGAAGAGAAGAAACTGAAGTCCACCCCAGAAGAACCAACAAATGCAGATGTTGTTGAGGCTCAGGTTTCTTCCTCTGTCTCTGCAGCTCTCTGGGCACCTCGACGGACCAGTCACCAATAATCCACACTGTGTCTACAGGAGAAATACAAAGGTGTTCAATTAATGCCTCAGACAAGACAAAATGTACAGTTAACTACATGTGACAGCTCAGGCTGTTTTTTTGTTATGAGCCACATCTGCAGGAATAATATTGAACAAGGTAGCTGCAACTCATCATAATAGATGCCAGTCTTAAACACTATTTCTTCTAATACTTAGTTTTTGGTGTGAAGCTGACACTGTCCACAGACTCCATGACTTCACAGGTTCAATAGAAAACAAATGTCTTATAATAAATATTAAATAATTATTTTTCAATTGTCATGTTCACCTCATCGCTGTTGACATCAGTAAATATAAAACACAGACATTCCTCTTTTTGTCAGAACAGTAACATGCTGTATGCTTTGTAATATTGATTTCTTCTGGATGTCTCATATTTATTTACAGTCTATGGATAAAACTTTGTTAATGTATTTCTCTGCTAACACTGACAAAGTCTAACTGCTCTGACAAATAACTAATAACCATAGTTGTATATTTAAAAAAGTGTAGTTTTAAGACTTTAATTAAACATTTGGGTTGAATATAATTAGTTTTAACTGTGTTGTAGAAAAGTTAAATGTTAACTTACTGTTTGTAGAGTTTTCTCAGGATGAGCAGGAATAGTTGATGATAGCAGCCTAGCTGTTAGTTATGTTGTCAAGTGGACTGCTGACGTCGAGCTGAATGGGCGGAGTTAAGTCCCGCCGGTCCCGCCTTACTGCTGTCGTTAGGTTGATCCGAAGTTAGGTTGAGACTGCAAATCCAATATGGATGCGGCCGTCGATTGGACTCATTTTCTGCCTATGTCACAGACGGGTCAGGGTTCGTCCAGTAATATTTACAGTCTATGGTTGAACTACAGAGAGGAGGTTCCAGCTCTAACCAGGGTGCACAAAATCACAGGAACAGTTCAGCAGATCCACGACCAAACACAGAGGCATGGTGGCGCCCTCTGCAGGCAATATGGCAAAGATGCAATGTAACAATTTCAAAGACAGTGTCATCTTGAGATCATCTGTTGTTATGTATAAGATGAGCTCAACCAGAAGGTTGGGGGTTCGATCCCCAGCTCCTGCAGCCCCATGTGTCCTTGGGCAAGACACCTAACCTATGTATGTATTTTTTTGTCTTGTCCCCCCCCCCTTAATGACTTACAGTATTTGTTGTTGTTTTGTTTGTCTATTTTCTGGAGTCATGATAATGTCAGTACTGTCTCGTGTATTTTGCTGCCTGTTCTTAACTAAAATAATCTGTTTTTACTGTGTTTTTCAAGTTTAAGTGTTAGATGCCTTAATTTGTAGTAATGAGGTGACAACTTGAGCTGTACTGATTTCACACTTAAACATGCATCATTCTCTACAATCACCTCTCAACACCCCCCTTTCTATTCATAGCTTTCAGTGACGTCACCAGCGCGGAGGGCTGGAGGGCAAAAAAAACGTTCCTAACCTATAAACGGCAGTAGCTCAGTCTGTAGGGACTTGGGTTGGGAACTGGAGGGTCGCTGGTTTAAGACCAAATATAGAAGTTGGTCTGGTAGCGGGTGCCAGATCACCTCCTGAGCTCTGCTGAGGTGTCCTTGAGCAAGGCACCAAAGCCCTCCCCACCACCAGCTCAGGAGTTCCTGCTGTGGGCAGTGTTAATGTTTTTTCTCCCCTCGGAGCCAGAGTGGCTGCATTCCCAATATGGTAAAAGGGGCGGGACATTTCCGAGAACCGTGCTGAGCGACTGACCAATTACGGCAGAGCCGACAGGCCGACCAATCAGATCAGACTTGGCACACGTGGGGACTCTGAACGTGGGCACTTCAGAGCCTTAGAGAGAGAGTCAGAAGCGAGCCGGTGCATGGAGCGGCAGTTCATGAAAACAGACACTTTTTAAGAACTTTAGCTATTGTGAACATACTTTAGTAGGTACATAGATTAAATATATGAACCCCAAAAAGGTCAGAATATGACGTCTTTAAGCTGTGAGATTTCTGGTCTCTCCCTCTGCTTTTTCCTCACCAGCTCTGACCTGCAACAGTATTGTTGCTATTGAACTGTCAAAGTCTTACTTGCAGGTATTTAAGCTCTCTTTAAGCTGTGTTACGGCCTCCTTCAGCAAAATAGTGACACTTTGTGGAAGCTTGCTGTGGGCAGAATCAATGAGCTTCTAGGTGGGCGTGTCCTTAAACTTGGCTCCATTCTTTACTCACAGACTGTAAATATGAATGGATGAAGCCTGAGTGACGTCAGGCATCTGTTCCTGCAGGGGGCGCTGGAGGCTCATCGTCAGCAGCCGCCATGCTGGATGCCGTCCCAGCCTAACTTTCAGTCAACCTAACAACAGGCTGAGAGCTGGAGCTGAGGCGGGTTTTAAGCCTCTTGATGAACGGTTACATCGCTCCCACGCGTCAATCATGTCAGCTATGCGCCTTACGTCTCCAGAGGATTTCACACTTCCACATTGGCCTCATTTTTCCACTTGGTTTTTACTGATATTCTGATAGTGAACTCTTTGAAGGAGATTTTGCTGATATAGTGTATTTAGATAATGTTTGCTGCAGAGTGAGAGCTTATGAGAGAGCTCCTCTCAGGTGTTTCTGCTGTCAGGAGTACGGCCATGTTGCTGCAGCGTGCAGAGGAGTTTGAAGATGAGGAGGAAATGTTTGTTTTGACTTGACTGCTGATGATGATACCCACATTCTCACCAAACAACTTCCCCTTCACTTCTCAAGAAAAGACTCAAAATGATGCGTCAACACATCTCAGAGCACTAAAATAACATCTCTGATCTCTCAAACACGACGGACATTCAGAGTTGTATTCAGGAGGTCAAGAGGACACTCTGTCAGACATTCTCATCATAATAAATTAAAAAGGACAAACAGTCTGAGTTGTCATGTAAAATAAATATTTCTCATTAAGATAATGAAGGATTTGTTTGTAATCTTTTGATTTTAATGGTTAAAATTAACAAACTTTAAATCTGATGGTGAATCAGAAAACAAATCAAATATTAAAGGCGAGCGTGACCGGCCTGTACTCGGCCTGTACTGACCTCTGACCTCTGACCTCTGACCTCTTTACTGATCGATGCAGCTCATCTTAATGATCATCAGTTTATGATCATTTAAACATGTTACATCATGTTTTAATAACTATGACACATTCATAGAAGTGAACACTTAAAGCAGGCTTGAAGTCAAAATGAGGAAGTGATGACATACTAAGAAAGGGAAGTAGATGCAGCGTCTCTTTAAAGAAGCACTACTGAAGAAACTCAGACAGTTAGGAGCGTGACAACGGGAGGACAGAGACGGAGAATCACCATGAACGAGCTCAAATGGATTCAAACTTCTTTACTTCTCACAGCGCTGCTTCAGTTTGCTGGTAAGAACATTTATATCACATATTTAACCTTTTTTTAAACATGATGGATTTAATGAACTCTGAGAAACCACAGATGAAGAATTATTCTCAAACTGATTGTGAATATAATCAACATTTTATTGATTTACTTTATTCTTTGTCATTTTCTCAGCAGCAGCAGCTGAAGTTAAAAGAGTCACATTCAGAGTTGGAGAGGACGCCACGTTGTCTTGTGAAACTGTGATACAAGGTCAACAGAAGTGTGAGTATACGGCATGGCTCTTTGTTGATTCAGGAAACAGAGAAGTAGTACAGCTGGTTGCACATGGTCAGGTTAGAAACTCTAGAGTTAAATCAGACAGACTGAGAGTTACAGAGGACTGTTCTCTGGTTATAAAGAAGATCACAGAGGAGGATGCTGGACGTTATGACTGTCTACAGTTCATATCAGGAAGAAGAACAGGCGATGTGACTCGAGTTGATCTCTCTGTTAACAAGAGTAAGTATTTCAATAATCTTTTCAAACAAAACTTTTCTAATTCAAACAATAAACTGAAACATTACAATAATTATAAAGACTCTGATGAAGTTAATTTGTCTCTTGTTGTGTTTCTCTTATAAAATCTCCATCCTTACTTTGGACTCTACATTTCTTATATCAAAACATTTCAAAGTGTCTTTGGCGTAAACCACCATGTCCGTTATTAGAGACACTTGACCTGCTTTGTTTTGTTTTACTTTCAGATGTTTTTAAGTAGAAACACTGTTTCTTTATTTAACAATAACTCAATAAATCAATTACCATTTATTCAACTTATTTGTATTTAAATCTTATTTTTACCTTCAGTTTTTACCTCAACTTTTATTCTCTTCTTAGAGTTTTATTATCATCTTGTGAAATGTTTGAAATGTTTTTTGTGTCTGTGTGAAGCACTTTGAATTGTCTGGAGTCTGAAAGATGTTTTATAAATAAACTTGTTTTGCCTAAAACATGAAAAAAAATATTTTGGATTATAAATTTGAATTTTATATGAAAACACAAATTTTATACTGAACAGTTTGATGAGTTGTGTTTATCTCTTCTTCAGGCGACGACGCAAGAAAAACAACAAGACCACCAACAACAAGACCACCACCAACAACAACAACAACAACAAGACCACCAACAACAACAACAAGACCACCACCAACAACAACAACAACAACAACAACAACAAGACCACCACCACACCACAACAACAACAAGACCACCAACAACAACAACAACAAGACCACCAACAACAACAACAAGACCACCAACAACAACAACAAGACCACCAACAACAACAACAACAAGACCACCAACAACAAGACCACCACCACCAACAACAACAACAACAACAACAGGTCAACACGGCGGTGAGTCAGCGTTTTTATACGTCTGATTTTATTAAATTGTCACAAAGACAACACATGCAGGCAGTCTACCAATATCCCTGTTTTTTGTTTTTTTCTCTTTTTTTGTTGTTTAATAAATGGTAACAAATCAACATTTCCAAATGTTCTGAACCATCACACTGAGCCTCTGACAGAAGCAAACAAAGCTTTAACTTTAAATGACTCAACAGTCAACCCACAACCATGCAGACTTTCCACTTCACTGAGATGTTTTAAAGTGTTTTTTTTTAAAGCTTTAACTCTATAGTTTTGATAATAACTTACTAAGTAGTTGATGCAGTTACTGCTTCTTTCAGACCAATCAGAGCTCTCAGCTTGGCCTTGAGTTAGCTGTTTGATTTTATCTCTTGTTGTGTTTTTGCATTTGTGTCTTCAGTGGATGCAGAACCAGAAGAAGAAACTCTTTGACCACACCGGGCCATCATAGTGCCTATCAGCCTATTGGTGTTGAAATCTATATAAATGGGCGTGGCTCCCCCTCCTTTGTTAAAACATGATCACCTGAAGAAGACCTCAGGGAGGAATGTTGTGATTTTGATGGAATAAAGTCAAAATCTGTGAAGTCATTTAAATATGAAATATTAACTTTGCCCACCTCTGGTTCCTGTTCATCAGATTGTACAGGTTCTTCTGATCTGGACTTGGTCATGTTGGCTCTGCGTGTGGCTGAACTCCTCCTGATTACTGTGATCACTGTTCTTCTCTTCAGAGCTCGAGGTGAGAAACACTCACACCAACTTTTATTCACACCTATCACCACCAACCTTAAAGTCAGAGCTGAAATGTTTCTGTGTGCTTTATTTTTCAGGGAACCAGAGACCACCTGATGACATCACTGTGAGCTGGAAATAAAGCCTCATATGAACTGTCTTCATATAGAAAAGGAACATTTCTTACCTCCATTTTAACTTGTATGTTTTTGTATTTTCACAGGTGTATTATGATGGAGATGAAGGCTCAGTGAACTATGAAAATGTTGGAGAACCTTCTGCTTCTGTCAGACTCCACTGATCAACAACTTCCACACAAACATCCACTCAGCAGATACATTAATCCACCGCTTTTAATCATTTCCATATTGTACTTTTGAGCATAAAAACATGGATCCACATTTTATTTGAGGTACTAAGTGAGGATTTGATAAATGTGCTGATGTGGAATATGAAGTTGATATTTGTTACGGCCTCCTGAACCAAAATTATTAAACCAAGGCTCAAAACTCTGAGACGGAAAACATACAAGGACGCCACAAAGATTTAAAGTTCAACCCTAGCTTTATTTATTGTAAATACCCCACTCCCCCCAAAGTAATCAAAGATAGATAAGAAACAAAAGGGGCTGGAGACCCAGAAGAAAAAAAACAAAAGATGGGAAGATGCTGAGCCAACCACGTAATGTGCCGTCATTATGGTACCTCCCCCTAAAACTACCTAAGAAGAAAAGATTAAACTAAAGAAACCAAAAGACCCAAAATAGGACTAACAGTGATCTCCAGTCAAAACTCAAATAATAAAACCCAACAATGTTAACATATGTGGGGAAAACCAGTAAAACTGGGAAACAAAAGCTCCTCACCACATTGCTGCCCAGAGTGTGTGCGCCCCTGACTCTCCTACCTGGCTCCTCTAAATACCCCTCCAGCTCCTCCTCCTCCTCCTCCTCCTCCTCCTCCTCCGCTCAGGTGAGCAGCAGGTGAAGGAGGAGGGAGAGAACATGGTCGCACGTACCGGTCTGTTTTTAATGAGCTTGCTGTTCAAGAAAGATTGTGTTGTGTTATCAATCATCACTTGGGTTAATCTTCAGTTTTTGCAAACATGGCAGATAATATTTTTTTTGTAGAAAGCTTCATTTGTATAAAGTTCTTCATATTTTTGAGTGCCTTAAAATGTCAGAATAATCTAATTTGAATCACTATGTCAAATTAACTTTCATGTCTTATTGTTGCTTCAATATATTTGATTGAATGTGTATATTTTACTTAAAGGAGGCCTCACTTTCACCATTAATCATGTCAGTCTGGGACACCTGTTGAGTAGTGTTGTGAGATGTGTAGCTCAAAAACCTTATTATTTACGTCGGTAAAATCTCTCATATCAGCCTCTGTGTGAAACGGTTCATTTCAGCTGCTGTCTCTTTAAGACCCCCCTCCCCACGTGCCCACATTACTCTGATTGGCCAGCTTTGCTAAAACCTCTTTGGGGGTAGAACTAATGAGCTACCGGGTGGGCAACTCCTTCAACTTTACCCCATGTTTTGTTCTGATGCATTTCCTAACTTTTTCTTTAAGATCTTGTTCAGAGCAGCAGGAAACCACGTCCGGGGATTACACCAACATCTGTGTATCTTGTGTTTAAAAAACTTTGCAGAGGTTTAGTATGAACATCCAACATGGTAACATTATATGTATGTTTTTAAATATGGATCAACATAATAGATCTCTTTTATTATTTTTCAGTATTCAGTCTGTAATAATCATGTCTTTATTAAATCATATTAAATCTGCAAATAAATAAACATTTACCACTTAATTCTACTGTGTGCCTTTTGTGTTTCCTTCATTAAATTACAGAGTCTTTCTGAAAGTGAACATTTTCTCTACATTCCTTTATTTCTGGGGTATCCGTCATTCTCGGGTTAATTCTCCCTCTGCTGGAGAGCTCTTTTCTAACCAGAGAACTAGAATGAGTCAAAATACTGTACAGAGAAATGCACCAAAAGTGAATTGTCGTCTTAGGTTTGCATAGTAAACTGAAGAGGTGGCCGTGGCTGGCCCTGAACAACATCAGGAAGATTAGACCTTACATGTCAGAGCATGCTACACAGCTCCTGGTACAGGCTCTTGTGATATCATGCATTGACAATTGCAAACGACTTCCCCTTCACTTCTCAAGAAAAGACTCAACATGAAGTGTCAACACATCTCAGAGCACTAAAATAACATCTTATCTCTGTTCTCTCAAACACAACGGACATTCAGAGATTGTTATTAAAACTGACTGTGTTCTCAGAAACACCATCTAAAGAGGAACGTTGCACTACTCAGACATTTATCTGAACTCTCAATCTTCACACATTTACCTTCCTCCGTCCTATTTTTTTTTTTTTGGTAACACATCTCTGTAACAAATGCACCAAAGAGCTGAACTTCAAAGTCATCACCATCTGCTGTGACCTCTGACCTCTTTACTGATCGATGCAGCTCATCTTAATGATCATCAGTTTATGATCACTTAAACATGTTACATCATGTTTTAATAACTATGACACATTCATAGAAATGAACATATAAGGCCAGCTTGAAGTCAAAATGAGGAAGTGATGACATACTAAGAAAGGGAAGTAGATGCAGCGTCTCTTTAAAGAAGCACTACTGAAGAAACTCAGACAGTTAGGAGCGTGACAACGGGAGGACAGAGACGGAGAATCACCATGAACGAGCTCAAATGGATTCAAACTTCTTTACTTCTCACAGCGCTGCTTCAGTTTGCTGGTAAGAACATTTATATCACATATTTAACCTTTTTTTAAACATGATGGATTTAATGAACTCTGAGAAACCACAGATGAAGAATTATTCTCAAACTGATTGTGAATATAATCAACATTTTATTGATTTACTTTATTCTTTGTCATTTTATCAGCAGCCGCATTTCTAGTTAAAAGAGTCACATTCAGAGTTGGAGAGGACGCCACGTTGTCTTGTGAAAATGTGATACAAGGTCAACAGAAGTGTGAATATACGACATGGTTCTTAGATTTAGGAAACAACGCAGCAGTAGAGCTGGTTGTATATGGGCAGGTTAGAAGAAACTCTAGAGTTAAATCAGACAGACTGAGAGTTACAGAGGACTGTTCTCTGGTTATAAAGAAGATCACAGAGGAGGATGCTGGACGTTATGACTGTCTACAGATCAAATCAGTAAGAAGAACAGGCGATGTGACTCGAGTTCATCTCTCTGTTAACAAGAGTAAGTATTTCAATAATCTTTTCAAACAAAACTTTTCTAATTCAAACAATAAACTGAAACATTACAATAATTATAAAGACTCTGATGAAGTTAATTTGTCTCTTGTTGTGTTTCTCTTATAATATCTCCATCCTTACTTTGGACTGGAAATACTTCAAATATTAAAACTTTTTTTTGGATTTGAAGTTTGAATTTTATATGAAAACACAAGTTTAGTGCTGAACAGTTTGTTGAGTTGAGTTTATCTCAACTTCAGGTAAGGACACCAAACCAGAACCAACAACAAGACCAACAACAAAACCACCAACGACAACAGCTGCTACTACAGGTAAAAGTACAAAAGCAACTAAAAAAGGGTCTCCTGTTGTCTTCTGCTCTCTGTGTTTGATTCTGATTAAGGACAGAAGTCTGAGGTCATCATGCTTCACATATTTTCATTTTTCTGGCAGACTGGCGTTGGTGGTTGATCTTCGTGCCCGTGGTGGTTTTTATAGTTCTGTTAGTGGTCGTTGTGAAAGTCATCAGATGGAAAGGTGAGAGCACAGATGAACATTTTCATGAAGAAAAAAAACTTTAATAACAGAAGTTTAATGTTTGTTAGCTTCAGTTAACCTCTACATTTTAATATCTAGAAGTTTGGATGATCCATATTTCTTGTTTGGAAGCTAAAGTCCAGCTGTTTCTGTGTCTCTACAGGAAACAGAACGCAGATGGGTGACGATGTTGTAAGTCCCAAAACGTTTGATTATGTTGTTTGTTCTCACTGACTGCTGAACAAAAATGTAAAGAAATGCTTGTTAAGAAGCAATAATGGTCCTGGAGCATGTTTTTGTTCTGCCTATTCTCCCATCAAACTCTTAACCCTCATAACTCCTACAGGAGGCATTTCTTTGTGTACCTTGTTTGGTCTGCCTGGCCTCTTTTTGTAATATTTCATGTATAAGCTCAAGCTTCTTGTGCACAATCAAGTTACAGACATCTATTTTTTCAAGATAACCGGGAATAACAGAGTATGTCTACTGCAGTGATGTCAGATAAATGGATTAAACTACAGCCTCTGAAATGAAAAGTCCATAATGATAAACTATCAATAAGCTTCATGGAGACACTTTTTGTCTGTCATACTTCAAAACATCTCTAGTTAAACTGAACTGAACCAACAGTCAGTGGTGTGTCCAGGGGGCAGCCAGGGGTGGCAGGCCCTCCCTAAAACTTGACTCGCTACGCTTGGTGCCGTTCAAAAATTCTAAACTATGATTGGCTGTCTGCCTGGAGGAGGAGGGGCTTATGTTCAAAACTGGGCAACAGGTTCTGCCTGTAGCTTTTGTGAAGTTTTTATGTTGCCCTTTACCCTCTTTGCAGCTGTGTTTGCTCGCTACATGTGACCATAGCAGAGTCTTTTTTGAATTCTTCATTGATCTGAGCTGAGGTTTTTTAAGATTGAAGTGCAAAAACACAACAGGATTCATAAAAAGAGTAGAGAGAAGTTCTTCAGACGGAGACTGTGAAAATGAAAATTAAGATGAAAACAGAGGCTTGATAAATTAAGACATCATAAGGGTCATTCTTTGGATACCATCAAATGAGCTTTATACAATTCATCCTGCATATTCAGAAGTTTAAAGAAACATTTCTGTGAAGACACAGAGAAAGAGTCATTCCTTCCATTACACTAATCTTATTTATTATATCTGTCCACTTGTGGGAGGTTCAGGAAGTCATCAGCAGCACGCAAGTGTTCTTTTTAAAGAGCAGAAACCCCCCCCACCTTAAAATCATAATTTCCTTAGATTAGTGTGATAAATTGCTCTTCAGTCTTCAGAGGGTGACAACGATAAAAAGGGAAGTTTGATGGTGATGCAACTTCAGAACACCAGGAACGTATCACACTGTGGGCTCACAGATTGGTTTTCTTCCTATCTTGCTGACAGAACATTCTCAGTACATAGTTATGTGGGGTACCACAGGGCTCTGTCCTGGGGCCCTTGCTCTTCTCCCTTTATCTGCTACCCCTAAATAAGATCATAACCAGTTTTTTTTTATTTGCTCCAATCAAAAGCACGTCACGATAAACATTACTGAGCAGCTGTTTTGTTGTCTTCTCTGTGTAGGCTGATCCTGAAGGCGGGGTTTCCTACGCCTCCATCAGATACAACAAGAAGGGGAAAAGAGGAGCTCGGGTGAGCTGTCTGATTGGTTAAAGTCAGGATGGATGTGAACTTTAAAAACGTCTTTATTAAAGTCATGAAGCTCAGGTCAACAAGTATCGGCTGTGCTATCAGTGTGTCCACGTTTACACTTTATTCTTCACATTTCCACGTTATACTTTACTTGATACTTTATTTCAGACCCATCGGTCCTTATCATTATAAAAAAGCACAAAAAATATAAACACAGGACATCAACGAAGGGATATAATCACTACAGTTCACAGTTTGTCAGTAATTAAGAACACAAAGAGACATCTGGACCAGTGTTTCCAGAGACACGAGGAACAGCTTGAGTCACTTAGTGTGGGCGGAGCCAGAGACATCATGATCATATTTTCTGTATTAATGAATCCACACATACATTTATACATAACATTTCTCAGCACAGCATGACATGTGGAGACGTTACTAGAAACAAAAAAAAATTCAGTGTTATATTTTGACTTCATTCTCGATGTATCAACTTGCACTTTGCATTTAATGATGTCATTTTGTGTTATTTAATGCTCTGTGATCTATCTCCAGGTTTGTGCTAAAGACGATGCTGACGATGGTTCAGTGATCTATGCCTCCGTCAAAGCTTCTTCTTCTTCTACTGCTGCAGGAGCCTCTGCTGATCCCAGCATCCTCTACGCCACCATCAACAAAGAGAAGAAATAAGAATCCAAAGTAAAGTTACAACTCAGGTTTTTTCAGCATTCTACACTGAAAACTACGGCGCCCTACAAGGCTCAGGTAGGACTAAAAAAGCAATTTGTAAATCTTTTTTTCACGGTTCACAAATCTGTGTGCACAGTTTATTAACAGTGCCCATGGATTTGTAAACCGTGTGCATGGATTTGCAATCTCCAGGCACACTTTCAGTTTAAGAAACCGTGCGCACTGTTTTGAAATCTGTGGGCACCATTTAGGAATCTGTGCCCACAGATTGTAAATCAGTGTGCATGGATTTGTTGAAATGATCGACAGCTTTTTATTTTTTGTCTCACCTGAGCCTTGCAGGGCTCAGTAGAAAACAGATACTGATAGATGTGTTTGTATGAGACTTTGTGTTGTTAACTTTCAAGAGTTATTGCTTTAAGATGCTTTTCCTTCAAAAGAGGGCGTTGTAGGTTTACTAGTAGCACAAAGACCTAGCATAATACCTCTGCATGAAATGTAAATCTACGGAGATCCTGAAGTCCCAAAAGTTAAAAAAAGATATTGGGCACACCAGTTAATATCTTGTGTGAACACGATACTAACGAACCTTTGACTACATGCTAGTGTGTGTGAGCGCTGACTGTTTCTTGTCTTAATCCTTGCACACAGGATATTCACTTGTGAGCACAACATAGCATCTTGTGCACAAGTTAGATGATAACTCAAGTGCACAAGATATTTTTTTCCACTTTTGGGACTTCAGGGGCTCCGTATGAACCAGCTTTTAAAATAAGTTTATATACGCAGCAGGCACTTTGATGTGCATGTGTTAAGTTGTAGTTTCTCATCACTGCTCAGATCATTCTGTATGTACTGAGAGGTACATGACTGAGAAGAGGAAGTGAGATAACGATCATCTTGACTAAGTCACATCCGAGAGTCTGTAGAAACCCATAAAAGGCTAAATCGACAGAGTGTGAACTTCATGACAGATAAAAGAAGGAGGAACCAGAAAGTGGGGTAATATACACTTTACTAATAAGAGGAAGGTGAGGAATAGTTCTCTTGATGCAGCTCCAGGTTAGACGCTTAAAGAGAGAGGAGAGAGACATGAGGGTTCAGTTGTTGAAATGTTTTCTTCTGAACATCATAAAATAGCTCTTCGACTCGATTTAGGTGAGAATATTATTACAAGAACTTCATTTCATGAATGCGTTCTTATACCTTAAACACAGTTAGTCTGAGTTTTGTAATAATACTTCTTGTGTGCAGCTCAATGTGTTCAATTTAAGAAGTGAAATATACATGTTTGTTAACGTTTAAATCCTGGAAAATATGGAGGCAGCTATACGTTTCTGTTGTTGATCTGATGGTCTGTTTCTTTGAAAAATATCTTATTTACATTCACGTCGATGATGAGCGACATTTACCTGCCCAGCGAGACTAAATGAACAATGTGCGACATGTTACACCTGAATATATCTTAAACCAAGTCTATCCTGTGTAAATGTGTCTCTGAGTCATGACTGTCTACAATGAGGGAGAAGCTCGAGTCCCGCTGGCTGTGTTGTTGTCAGAGCCGTGTTTACATGGACGGGACAGCCGGCTCCTCCCCTTGTGTATAAAAGCTGTTTTAGTCAAGAACTAGAGAGAAGAAGAAGAACATACTCACTGATTATTTTGATATCACATAAGCATTTTTAGATTGTTATCTGTATCAATTTATATACAATTGAAGCTACAAGCTAACTTAACTGTGCTAACAGTAGCATGCTAACACAACAATGCAGACCACAGGCAATTGCAGCTCTGGCCAAAGACGATTTTGTCCGCTGCTTACGCTTAACTCCTAACTCCTTCCTGTTAATGTATATGGAGGGTTGGAGGTGTGTCTCTGGAGGGAGTGGCTTCAGGATGGAGGAGGCGTGGCCAAACAGCAGTTTGTTTTGGTTTCATGCTGGTGCTTTAGGGCGACATCTACTGGATCATAAAGTCACACATTCTTCCTTTATCATTGAACAGAAAGTATTGATGATATCTTTTAGATGTGATTGAGGTTTTTTAATTGTTTTTGCACATTTGTGAGACACTGAAGAACTCTGTAATGTCAAATCTGTTACACCAATCTCCTGATCTTCTGTATCAATATTAATGACATCAAACATGTGGATTTACTCTTTATCACTCTGGCAAGCTTTAGGATAAATGTTTGGAGAGCTTACTGCTTAATAAACTGAAAGGAGAAGAAATGTGTGTATTAACATGTGATCATTTCATTATTAAAAACACATCTGCAGGGTCATTAAAAGTGTTTTCAGACCTCAGGAACTTTTTAATAATTATAGAAACTGTTGGAACCCTCCCTCTCTTTACTGAATCCACACCAGAAACTATGAACTACTCTAGTTCCTAGAACCGCGTTCTCCCTAGTCGATAGTTCCTCTGACAAAAACACTGATTGATGTAGAATACGTTTCCATTTAAAACATCTTAAAAACAAATACATCACCATATTTCTCAAACACTAATATGAGTCTCTGGTCCGTCTACAAACCCCCCAATGATGAGAAAAGTCCATCCGCTCCATCTTTTGCCTGCTCCACTTTTCAGAAAATGTGTGCTCAAACAGGCCGTTTGGAGATTTTCCCTTCATGACATCACAAAGGGCAGTAGCCCTCCCCCAGGTGGGTGACACTCCACAGCTAGGTGTTTGTTCTGCCCTCTGAGTCTGCCTTCTCAATGTAAACAATAGGGCATGGAGCGAGAAAGCCTGAGTCACCAGAGCCTTCCAGAGAGGGGGCGTGATCAGACACAGCTCATTTACATATTTAAAGGTACAGACACAGAAACAGCCTGTTCTGAGCAGGGCTGAAATAGAGGGTTTATAGACATGATCAAATACAGGATCAGAGTGGATTTAGAACAAGAAACTTCACACACATGTTTTGGGGAGCTCTGAGACTGAGATTGCATACTAAAAAATTATGTTTAATAATGTTTAAATGTCTGTTAATCTGTAATGAGGATAAAAACAGGGAGTTCATCAGTCAAATTAAAAACCTTCAAGAAACAGACAGAAAGTCATGCAGTGTTGCCATTTTCTACTTTTCACCAGAGGGGGGCAGCAGAGATCTCCACAGCACCATGAGCTCACTACTTGCAGTCATGCATTTCAACAATCTGCATGGCATATTTTCCAAGCAACAAGCTCTCAGATCTTTTTTTAAAATTAAAACCTTCATAGTTTAACATAAGAATTTGACTGATTTATTGTATTTTATTTACGTGTCATGCACACAAAGTTCCCAACACTTATGAATTTATTAGAGTCTGTTGGGGCCCTAAGCTAATTTTCATTAGGGGCCCCTCCAACCAGCGTTCATCAACATGATGTCTGCCAGTGTCCCGATTCTTACTCATCTTCCTCTTTCTTTTTGCACTCACACACAGAAACAGTAATTCTTCTTCATTTTGGGCATGGAGAGTAAGGGAGTGGTGTCATATGGGACCACCTTAGAGAGGTATCCTACTGTCATTGGGCCCCCTATTGGCCTGGGGCCCCATGCAGTTGCCTATAACTTGCCTGTTGACAAGCAGCACCTCTGCATATGGTGAAAAGTTTGAGAAGCCCTCTTCTAGTGCGTATAGCTTTGGTATCATTGAAGCATGAAGGCAACACTACAAGAGTACCAGCAGATGGCAGCATTGATGCAGGTATTAAAACACCTTGATAATTCTGCCTGTAGATTAATGACTGCTGATGATGAGGAGTTCTATCTGATTATTACACCCTGCAATCTGGTTCAATTTGTTTTCTCTGCGGTCTAATGATGTAATTTGTTGCTACATTTTCTCACAATGGAAGACGAGCTTGATATGTTGTAAGTATTTTTTTTATATGTAAATACATGCTGCTGTTTTTATCCTGCACTACAACGGGCCAAATGCAACAAAATTTTGTTCTTATCTGCACTGTAAAGTACAAGTTTGAATGACAATAAAGAAAGTCTAAGTCTAAGTCTAAGTCTAAGTAACTGTAGAAACAACTAAACAAGATTGGGCAGTTTGCAGATCTCCTGACTCCCTCATGCACTCGTTTTGGTTTTGTACTGAAGTGAACAAAGTGAGGAACGAAATTCAACAATGGAGGTCTGTTATATGTCAAAACAGAAATCAAATCTTCGGCCAAATTTTTTTTTTCTTCCTCCAAACATGCTGAAAAAAAAACCAATATCCTTTGGATGGCAGATTGTGTTCTTTCCCCTTATCTATAAAAAGTTGATTTTAAAACACTGGATCCATCCATCCAGCCCTTCAGACTTGGAAAGAATTAATGAGATATTATTTGACTGTAGAAAAGGCGTTATTTGAGGTAAAAACAAGGTTAAACAACTCAATGTCGTATGGAAGTTTATGAATGTAGAAATGAAATTACGGAACTATCTGTGACATGGCTGGCGGGGGAAGTGGGGAGTCGGGGAGAATACAGGACAAGGACGAGGGTGGGGGTGGTTTGTGATGAATGAGGTTTTTTTTTGGCTGAATGAATGAGATATGAATGTACATGACTTTATTTTTTTATTTTTTTGTCATTGTGTGTTGTGTCTTGGATGTAAATGTATGAATGTCTCATGTGATCCTGATTTCACTCATGAATAGTGTAAACTAAGTGAAATTGTACGTTATAATTTTGGTTGGTAAAAGATTGGAAGTAAGACCCTGTGATGGAAAGTATGAAATTAATAAAGATATTCTGAAAAAAAAAAAAAGAGATAAGGCTGTTTGCAGAGATATTGAACGAGTGGGAATGTTTACCTTTCAAATCATTTAAAATACAGACGAGACGAAATGATAACAGACAGAACCTCTGCAGACCTTCCCCTGAGCCCCCCGATGCATTTGTGTCTCTGCTGGGGGTGAGGGGGGGGAGGGGGGAGCGCAGGGTCAGTACAGTGTTGATCAGGTGGAATAAAAGGGGGCTGTAACCCCCACAGTGATCAAAGACAGTGGTCCACAAGCCACGCCCCTCGACCCCTCTCTGCCTGTAACATGAGGGCAAACTCAGTGACCCTGTAAGCACAGCAGACAGGACGAGGATGAGGTCGGGTGTGTGTGTTTGTGTTTGGGGGGGGGGGGGGGGTCTGGATGATCCTGTGCGGATGGCGAGGAGGATGCATGGAGGAAAGAACAGAGAGATTAAGATTTACAGCCAGATTAACCTCCTGGATTTCCGTCTTTGCAGTATGACAGGTCTGTGCAGGACAGACACGGAATAAAAGGATAACAGAAGTGGACTCATGGGGGACTTCTTGGACTTGGTGTTTATTCTGGCTTAATAAAAATAATAATAAAATAAAGTGCTGTGCATGTTAAGGCTGTTTTGAAAGTGAGATGTAGTCCAAGAAGGCCACATAAAGACACATGAGTGTTTGAAGATGTTTCCACATGCGCACTCCTGAAAATGTCAGGAAAATCTGAGACAGGCTGGGCCCTGAAATCTTCTTGAGTTGCTTATTCACACATGACCCGCACGGCGAGAAGTTTTCACTGCCCAAGGAATACGCAGTGGAAAGACAGAGGACTGAGTCTGACGCTATTGATTGTTATCAATGCTTTTGTAAGCGGGTGTATTTGCAACTCACTAGTGAATGGTGAGAACATACTGGCAAACAGAAATAGTACGATTACATGCACAAAGATTATATCAGTCGCTCATCTAAACGCGGTCACCCATACCCACTTGGGGAACTGGACGGAGGAAGTCTGGATAAAGTTGGAGTTGGGAAAGTAGCATTGCCATTACAGTGTTGGAGTTAACCATTTACAGCTCTGTAACTACACTATTAAGAAGTACGCCTTTGTTCTTACACATTAGTAATTGAGGTCCCAGTTTGTGAGTTCACACAGAATTGCAGTGCTGAAGTGCGAGGGGAAGCACACCTCTTCCAACCGTGCCAGGGCCGAGGAAGTGCACTGTTAAGCACGGATGGGAGCACTCATACTAGTCAAACAAACTGGACTTTGGGGGGAAGCGTTCTTGGGCACAGTACAGATTGCCTAGTGTGAGTGCGCAT